AGCCCCGTAAGTCACCGCCCCGAAGCACCACCGCCGCCTCATTAGTACCATAGCACTGTCGCGTGAGAAAAACAACATTATCTCAACAGACCCGAAATCATGGAAGAGCAGAGTGATGGCGACTCCGCATTAAGTTTGGCCAGCCTCGTCAAGCAACACCCGGATCTCACACCACTCGTCGCCGATATTCTTGACGTTTGCAGGCAAGACAATGATAAAGCCTACGAAATGCTTTGCGAAATGGTCATCCCTTCGGAACCCGCACAGAACAACCAAGGTTCTGCCGCCTTTGCATATTCCTCGCCATTAAAACCAACGCAAACTGTAAGCGCTGAGCAAGTCGAAGAACGCCCTGAGTACACCTCGATATTTCAATCTTCATATTCTCAAATCTCCTTTGAATCCCCTTCCGATGCGCCTGCGCCAAAGTCTTCATTGGATGACTCTTCATCTAAAGACAACGCTTTACCTGAAAACAACACGTCGTTTAAAAACACTCTGTCGTTTCAGCATTCACCCCGCGCTTCCTCGCAACCAATGCTACAAGGGGCCTGGGCCCAGAAGTCTATGGGTCGCACATTTCGTGTCGACGACCTATGCGATAAATACGAATGGATTTCTCGCAATGCCGTAGAAGGTCTACTTGACAAGTATGACGACTGTCTTGAATTGGTGGAAACGGACATTCTGGAAATGTTCCCGATTGACGAGCCACAAGCATTCGGAGGCGGCCACAACATGAACGACAACAAACATGGGCCCATGTCACAAAGCAAAACGTATGCACAAAATGCCACTGCAAAGCGCGGCACCCCCGACAGGCGTCAACTACGCCAGAAGGCAATTGCTGATTCCCTGAGACAACAGGCCATAGACCAAATTCAACAAGATTCTCAAATTAGTCAATCGATATCTGTATCATCCAGTGGAATGAATAGCCTCAGGGCCGAGCTGTGGGATACCCGCGTGAATCGCATGCAATGGCAGCAACTGGCAAATCAAACACGGAAGCCTTCTCACATAGCCAACGCGAAAGCTCAAGACGCAGAATTACAGCGATTGTCCACTGATCTCCTGCACAGAATGCGTAAGTCTGAAGAGTACAAAAAGGGAGTCATAGATCTGCACGGTTTAACCAAAGAAGAAGCGCTTCAACTGGTGGAGTGGAAACTGCGCGACAGCGGGCGACGTCGTTTCAAGCTGATCACTGGCAAAGGAACCCACAGCCACAATGGTCATGCAGTGCTTCGACCAGCTCTCGAAAGGTACTTTCGGACCAAGGGAATAACAGTCTCAGTAGTGGGTGACGACATATTGCAAATTGTACCATAGATATGATACTCCCAGAACAACCCGGATAGAATTCAAACGCGGCGCTGCCTTTGGTTTAGTCAGACTGCAGTTCACCGCCGATTGCCGCCATCAGTTGGCCTGTATACAAATTTGGTACGATTTGGGCTTTGAGACACGTGACAATTTCTCTGGTTACTCTGGATGCTGAGGACTTGATTCCATTTGGATAACCGTCGAAACATCATCCGGGGCCCTCCACAGCTTAACAGTCTTGTCCCTCTCCAAAGCTCCCGAGGCCAGGATGCTAAGACTGGGGTGCGCTGCGAGGGCAAGCACGACATCAGTATGAGCTTCTAGTTTCTGAATGATGCGTTTTGTTTGTAGATCCCAAATGTAAACAAAACTGTCTTCACTGCCGCTTGCAATATGCTTTTGGGGACCGGTGACCACAAATGTTGAAAAGATGCAATAGCGACTGTCGAGGTGTCCAGTGTAGGTCTTGAGAACTTTGCCTGTGTTATAGTCCCATAGACGCAGAGAGTTGTCCAGAGTTCCGGCAAGGATATACTTGCCGTTCGGGCTGAACTTAACAAAGGAGACAGGTGGATTATCCTCTCCAACCAAGGTTTTCAACAGCTGACCAGAGCCCGCATCCCAGACGCGGACCAGACCATCGTATGAGGAAGAAACGATGAGGGCGCCATCGCGCGAAAAGTGAACCGCTGTAACGGGATCGTTGTGAGCTGGGAGGACTCGAAGAGGTTGGCCGCCGCGTACGTCGAAAAGACGGACAGATTCGTCAAAGGAACCAGATACGATAATGTTGCTCTGGGGATTGTAATTGACGCAGAAGACGTAGTTTTCGTGGCCACGAAGGGTCTTGACGCAATTCTTAGACTTGACGTCGTAGATTCGGATAGATTTATCATCAGAGGCGGAGCAGATGTACTTGGAATCGGAAGACCAGGAGAGATCGGAAATGCCTTGAAGATGTCCTGTGAGAGTGCTAACCTCCTTCCCATTCAGGGCATCCCAAATGCGGATAGTCTTGTCTGCGGAGGAGGAGGCGAGAAAGCGGCCGTCAGGAGAGAATTTGACGGATGAGATGGCCTTTTTGTGCCCGGTAAGGCTGTAATACAGCTTGTACGGGCGCTGCTCGTGCAACGGTGGGAGGGTGCGACGGGTTGCACTGGGGTGCGACATTTGGTGAAGGCGAAAGTCAGACAGTCGGTGAGTCAGTCCTATCGTTCATAGTTGCCGATGAGTGACGTCGCGCGTGTTTTTCAGCGACGGGATGGATTTGGTGGCTCGGGTGTTGCAACAATGACGGAATTGGTCTTTTGTTGCTGCTTTGTGTCCGGATGCGGCAGGGCGAAGAGAACGAAGAGAACGGGACATGGACGATGCAGTCGTGGCAGTCGAGTGTACCCTGTGTGCGCCGGATGTACACAGTTGGCAATGCACGAAGAAGGATATTGAGAGGGGTGCCGAAGGCGGTGCAACCAGAAAGGAGAATGTGCCACACGACGTGATGTTAAAAATTCAGAAGAAAAACGTCAATTTGGCAATGAAGAGAAAAAACGTGACGAAACATGTGGGGCCTGAGTAATCGATAGGATCCTACATTAACCGTAGGCAATATGGCAAGGAAAAGTGTCAAGTGAATTTTCTGGATCCACCTATTTGTGTACAGTAATTCGTTGCACACACAAAGTAGTGTTCGATACAAGTCTGCCAACTGATCGGAGCGAGCCACACCCACCCGACTTCCCTCCTGGCGCAACCGACTGGAACGGAAATCGCCTTGATGCGCCCACTGGCCGGACCCTACCGCACCCAGCACCAACCTGTTCACCAACCTGTTCTCGTCATTGGGTACTAAAGCATCAGGTGCAGCCGACGTGCTACTGCATCCCTATTCTCCGTCGATCCCCTCCCACCTCCGGCGCTTACCACGTGCCGTCCTGTCCTCCTAGGCTTCCCTTGCTGCCACCCAAGACTGGCATGAGCGGTGCGTCCAAAGGCCGAGTCAGAAAGTCACGCACATCGAAATTACCGTTTTCGCGTACTCTCACTGAGACTCGACCATCTATGAGACGCAACTCAAACCGTCTATCCCGCTCCCAAGATGGCTCTCGGAACCATGTCAACCTCACCGCTATCGATGACCTCTTCAACCGCTTTAAAGAAGCAGCCGGTACGTTTTCATTTCTGCCTCCCATCTCCCCCACCCTTGCGTCTTTCGATGGCAAAAAGCACATCTTCAAATGGCAAATGCTAACACTCTCATTGCGCCTGTATCACCCGGACCTTGTACATCTACGCAGAAGAGAAAATCGAAGCTGAGGGTATGCAAGCTCTTTTCGAGGCCTTAGATGTAGATCCGCTCGACATTACTTCCCTCGTCTTCGCTTGGAAACTACGAGCGAAGACCCCCTTTGAATTCTCGCGATCCGAATTTGTCGACGGCTGCGTCAATCTCGGTGCAGACTCGCTGGAGAAGCTCAAGGCTGTCTTGCGTACGTTCGTGCCCATTGCTCCGAACGCTCCTCTTTGAAACGCTCCTCTCTGAAATCGTAGTTTTCAATTTCACCCAGCTCACCAAAACCTGTTCCCCCTCCCCAATTGCACAGCCTCTTTGAAAGAGTCGCTGAACAACGACGACGACTTTCGCAGTTTCTACATGTTTGCCTTCGATTACAACAAGCCGATCGAACAGCGAAGCCTCCCTATCGAGGTCGCACGGCAGCTCTTCCCTTTAATTTTAGGAGGGCGGTTTGCGCACATCGACCTGTGGATTGAATTTCTCGAAGGGAAGAAGCACGCAATTTCAAGGGACACCTACTCGCTGCTGCTCGATTTTGCCCGTAACATCGACTATGATTTGAAAAACTTTGACGAGGAAAACGGGGCTTGGCCAGTATTGCTGGACGAGTTTGTAGATTTTGCGAAACCCAGGATCGCACAAGATAAGGACCGGATGGATGAGTAGACGGCCGGGCGAAGGTCGGTGCGAGTGACGATTAGGGAACCCGCGACAAACTGGCACGGTGTTGCGAAAAGCCGGAAGGGCATGGTGGAGGGCTAGGTAGGAGCGTTATAAAGACCTCCGCGCTTCAGAGAGCTGCGTTCGACACACACAGATGGCAGCTACCCTTCGGGTACGTTGCGGAATTGTGAAAACCCGGCTGTCTTTATTTGATGATGAAGCTTTTCGGGAGAACAAGGAGACCTAAAAATCGATTCAAAAAGCTGGGGTCACTGGCGGGGTTGAGCAAAGCGCGTTAGAGAGAGCGCGATCGTCGTTATTTGAGTGTTGCAAACACCTTTGGCACGGCCTGTGCGCACAAATGCAGTGATACCAGGCGCAAGGCAAACAAACAAAATGTTAGCAACGGCGCTGCATCGCACTGCAAAGCAGGAAAACTTAAATCGCAAGCAGTAGGACGGTAGATAAGAGGCTTGTAAAGGAACATACGCAATGATCGATGCACTTCCAAAAGTCCAGGTACTGGCCAGAGCAGTGGGCCTCGCCGGTCTTATCAGTAGCAACTCTCTTGATGCAGGCTCCATAGGCCGTCCAGAGCTATGTGGATGTTTGTCGGCGCGCGGATCGCAGAAAGGATAGCAAAGTCAGCAGGAATGCGATGATGCGGCGATACACAACGGAAGGGGGCGGCGTATGCAGACTGCGAGCTCGATCAACTTACCTTGGAGCACTGGGGGCGGCATTCTTCCTCAATCTGGGGCTTGTTATCGACGGGATCATCATCGTCAAGGTCCGACATGGTTGCAGCGGACGAGAAGTCGTTCGGTTTTCACCAGCGGATCAGTCAGACTGTGAGAGATGGAAAAGGTCGGCAGGGAGCAGTGGCGATCGCGTTTGTGATGATTTGTGGGATTGGGATGAAATGAGAGCGGAAACTGCTATCCTTACAGAAGAAATGAAAGCGTTCTGAAGTGTGCCACTTGGCATATGAATATTCGATGTTTCTCTCGTGGCGCGAAAACGGAACATCGTTGTGTCATGCCAGGTCCGAGACCGTCTGCGGTACGATGAGGAGGTCGTGTACTCGTCTGCTGTTCCTCTCTCGCCCGAGCCTGAGGTCTCGCCTATGTACGCGATCCTGCGCATGCGCTCACCAATCGGCAAATGCTCGTTTGAAACGCATTGCAGTCGATCGCCACAGTCCCGTCCCCGTCCACCTTCAGCAGGATGACGGACAACTCGCTGGACGTCGACGAAGACGACGCCGTGCTCTACGGCCGTCTCGACAGCGTTAAGCCGCTCATCGATGCCCTGAGCTGCATCTACAGCCCTGCGCACAAGGGCCAAGACGTAACCATGACGTCGCACGAAACGCACGGCGGCATCCGGTTCACAGTGGAAGAAGCGGGGTGCCTGCTAGCCAGCGTGATCCTCCCGCGGCGGGCCTTTGTCGAGTTCCGCTGCGGCGACGCATCCGTCCGTCTGCGGCTCAACCTTTCGCTGCTCATCGACTGCCTTAACATCTTCGGGTCGTCGTCCGCGGAGCGGTTCTCGGCCGCGGTGCAAATCCGGTATGCGGGCGCGGGCGCGCCGCTCGTCGTGCGGCTGCGCGACGGGGAGGCAGACTCTGTGTGCGAGCTCAACACGCTCGATTGCGACGAAGGCGACGACACGGACTTCCGCTTCCACGCGCACGACATGGTCAACATGGCCGTGGTCGACTCGGACGCGCTGCGCGACGCGATGGCGGAGCTCGACTACGGCGGCGCCACGACGGCAGAGCTACGCATGGCGCCGGAGCCGCCGCGATTCAGGCTGTCGTCGCCCGCGTGGACGGTCGGGCTGCTGGGCGCGAGGGGGGCGGAGGAGGAAGAGGAGGCGGCGGTTTGTACGGTGGTGCTCGCGGATCCGACGGATCGTAGGACAGATACGTTTCAGGCGTTTCAGAGTCGGAGGATGCAGACGGCGAGTTATAAGCTGGAGCACTTGGGGAGATGTGTCAAGGCGTTAGGATTGTCGGAGAGCTGTAAAGTCGAGATGAATGCGATGGGGATGGTGTCGATTATGTGTAGGATGAGGGGAGGCGAGGACGGGGGTGGGGGGGTGTTGGATAGGTGCTTTGTGGAGTTTGTTGTGGTGGCGCAGGAGATTGAGGAAGACGAGGATGGCGATAGGGATGAAGATGAGGGGCAAGGGCTGGGATTGGAATGATGGTAGGATGGAACTGGACTTGTGCATGACATGTACAAGTCCACATGAATTCGCGTATTAACTTAACAAACATTGTTTGTTACCCTACCCGTCTTCATACGTGTGTTCGTGTGAAAGTTGCACGCGTTTCAGCGCCGTTCCTTGATAGAGTACAGTACGTACTGCTGATACGTACAGTACCAAGGGTACAGTAATGGCGACACGAAATGCCTCCTCCTTCGGGCCACGAGCCGATTCGGCAGCATCCAATTCATTTCTTCTTCCCGCTTTCCGCGCAGCGGCCTCCTCCTTTCCTAGCTAGTTAGGCGAACCCCTTCCCACACAAGTCACCTCCTTAATGCGGCTGTCCTAAACTCCCCGCCTCCTGCATCCCTCCTCTCGCCGCACCCGCGGCACCGTCAGCCCGCCGCCATTACCGCCACCGCCACTTCGCCGGGCGCGCGCGCGGGCTCGGCCATCGCCGCGCCCCCGCGCGATCGCTTCGTCCTGGCCGTCGTCTTCGCCTACGGCCTCTCCTCGCTCGGCGGCGTCTTCGTCAACAAGGCATGCTTGTCCGCATTCCACTTCGGCTTCCCCAGGACCCTCATGCTGGCCCAGCTCTGCGTCAGCGTCGCCGCACTGTCTGTCATGCGCTTGCTGCGCGTCGTCATCATTCCCAGGCGCTCCGCACGACAGCTCGCCGTCCTCGCAATTCCCGCCACCTTCTTCATCGGCAACGTCACTGTCGGCTTGGTCGCACTGCAATTGGTCAACATCCCCATGTTCTCCGCATTCCGCAGGCTCAGCGTCCTCAGCGTCATGCTTGTCGAGTGGCTCGTGCTCGGAAGGACCGCATCGAGACATATCTTGCTCACCGTCTTTGTTATGGTCTTTGGCAGTTTTGTCGCCGGCCTGGGCGATCTCTCTTTCACCCTTCTCGGCTACTGTCTCGTCTTTCTCAACAACTTTATCACCGCGGCCAACCTTGTCTCCATCAAAAAAGCCACCGCCATCCTCTCCTTGGACGCCCTCCCCCTGTTCTACTACGTCTCGCTCATCTCGCTCCCCATCGTCTTTTTGCTGGCCCTGCTCTCCGGCGAACTGCACAATGCCGTCCACGCCGTCCAAACCCGGCCCGAGCTGCAGACTCCCTCGTTCGCATTTGCTCTCGCCATGTCGGCTGCCTCCGCTTTTCTCATCAACTTTCTAACCAACATGTGCACACAACTGACTTCCCCGCTTACCACCGCTATCACGGGGCAGATGAAGAACATCCTACAAACCGTCCTTGGCATCTTTGCCTTCGGCTACAAGATAACACCCCTCAATCTTTTTGGACTCGCCGTCGCCCTCTTTGGCTCCCTCCTGTTTGCCCGGTTTAAGTATGTCGACTCCCAGGCTGCCAAACTCCAGGCCAAGAAGATAGCTGCCAACCAACTACCTATGACCCTCTCCCACTCCGCACCAACGCCGTTTCCGGACAAAGCGGGAGTCGCTGGAATTCCCGGTAGTGACGATGAAACGATGTTGCTGAGACAAGCGGCTAGGCACGTTTCCATTGCCGTGGGCGGTCATTCTCCCCACATGGCATAGATAACGACTATGTCACTGAGAAGCTGGTGTTGCTTTGAAAGCTTTTATTTGTAAAACACGTTCAAAAGATCTATCTATACTGTATCCGTTTCAAGTATGAACTGGCTTTCCATGACTTTCTCGCCACAGTAGCCCTCGCGCCATGTCCATCTTTGTGTGCCACCCGATGGGAGGTACTGAAGTGACAAGATGAGATGGATATATCTAAGCAATGCAAAGAGTCAGAATAGTGTTCCAGTGTTGGACTGAAACCCAGAATACCGTGAACATTTCAATAATCTCGCTGGGGACTTTTGTATCAGGCATTCCCAAACCAACTGAGGCATTTTGCTTCGTCAAATCCTGGGGATCGCCAACTCGCAATTTTCGGTGTGATTTGACAGCCTCCCCAAAGCCTGCCGTCTCCGCAGCAATTCGATGCTGGGCTGAGGGTGCATGACTCAGGTGGGCTTGAAGCTGTTGAGATCACGAGGCTGGGTAGCTGCTGTTTCAGTCATGCTCAAACAATGCATCCTAGTCAAATTGTTGTTCACTTCAGTGCCGTATACTGCACTATAGTTCGAGCTTGTCTACGTATAACCAAAGCGCCCCATCGCCGAAACCCAAACTCGTCTAGGTTCTGTGGCAGCAATTCAGAGTGCCCCGTGCGCTCTTCATTTCTCCAGGACGCTCCGAACTCGTTGACATCATTTGGCGGTTGCTATAAGGACCTGACTGCTACAAAATGCTATGCTGCAGTCGTTGCTCCCCGACTCTGCAGAAACTGTGTTGTCTGCTTCTAGCCTAAATTGGGGACCGCGTATATCGCACTATTCATTGACATGTTGAACCTCCGCCTGTTTCGTAGAAGACATAGACAACCACGCAAATGCGTCCGGCCGGGCAGAGCACACTCCCCCGTAAACTTCAATAAGTTGCTGTTACACGTGTCCGAAGTTTTTGCTTCTCGTGAATCTGAAACTCAATTGACTCTTAGTCTACAATATCTGCCTGCTCTTGTATCGGCTTGTCGATATCTATCGTTTGAGGTTTTCTTGGAAGTAATGACGTAACTTTAATCCCATCACCAAACTCTAGCTCGCTCTCAGCACGACTGGGCGAGAAATGGGCCTTAATGCTTTCGTGCCGACTTGGAAAACACACGGGCTTGTCAAGTCCAATTCCCTAGAAAGGCATCATACAGGCAAACTCGTTTCAGCGCAACGTCCAACACGCCAACGACATGTGGTATCAGCCCCCCTGATGAAAGCCGCGGAACAGCGGGTTCTTGTGTTAGGTGGCACTGGTCGCGTTGGTACTGAGACTATCAAGGCTCTCGCACGCATCACTCCTGTTCCGTTATCAATCAGCGTAGCGGGTCGTGACCGCTCAAAAGGCCATCGAATCTGTCGCATGTTGACAACAAGTAACCAAAATGAACGTACGGATTTGCCACCAGTAGACTACCACTTCAAATCAGTTGACATTACGGATGAGAGCGCATTGATCAAACTTATCAAAGCACACGATGTCGTCATTCACACGGCCGGGCCATTCCAGAGAAGCAAAAATCCCACCGGTGTGCTAGAGGCAGCGATGCAGGCCAATGTCCCCTACATGGATATTTGCGATGACCTCATACACGCTAAAGAATGCAAAAAGCTTCATGAAGTTGCTCTTTCAAAAGGATACACCGCGCTCATATCCACGGGTATCTACCCAGGGTTGAGCAACTTGATGGCGGTGGAAGCTGCCTCTCTTATGGGTACTGAACCGGTGAAGTCCCTAAAGATTTATTACCATACGGCAGGAACGGGAGGAATAGGAGCGACGGTATTAGCCAGCACTTTTTTGATCTTGAGCGAACATGCGACATGTTTTGATACGCATGGTAGGGAGCAAAAACTACCCCCTGCCGGAAACCCGGAGGTGATAGATTTCGGTGGAAAACTGGGGAAGGTCACGACCTACTTGTTAAATTTGCCTGAAGTGGTGTCTTTACACGAGAATGTGTTTAACGGTAGTCCGGGAACAGAAATTTTTGCAAAGTTCAGTACAGGTCCCCCCATATGGAATTGGTTGCTGCAGATGATGGCTAGAAGGACTCCCAAATCCTGGCTAGCTAACCGGCCAGCTATGCTTGCGTTTTCGAAGTTTAGTTTGCCCGTTGTGAGAGCTGTCGATTTGCTGAGCGGTGCTCTCACGGCGATGAAGATTGTGGCTGAGGGCCCAACTTCGAGCATCATATACTCTTTTGAACATGATAGTCTGGCCGAGTGCGTCGGAGAAGCAACAGCATCCTTCGCCGTTGAACTTGTGAAGAAGCGTCTGGAAGGTGGCCAAAAGGGACTTGCACCGGGAATAAATTACCCTGAAGAGCTGTCGCCAGATATTAGGAAGCATATCATCAAAAACGCGAGCAGGTCTGCGAACTTGTTTGAAAGTACGAGATACTCGTCGGGAAGGAACTGGGAATGAACTGTGAGGTTGGTACTTTACATAAACTACACGAAATTTAAGCTCTGAACTGATTGCAGACGCTCATGGTTGCCGTAGTCACTCTGCATATGTGCATGGGGTCACTCTCTCCATTCCGGACTCTCACCGAGACCAAGCTAGTCAGAGAATCCGCAAACGTGAAAGTTATAAGTCGTTGGCAAAGTTAAATTGTAATCCATAGAGATTACGAATGGGTAATGGGGATGGAATAGATACAGGGCTTTTCTCTTTCGAGACACAGGGCTATGGCTGTGGCGTCCACCTTCAGCGCCTACATGCCTGCGCGATCGACGGCCTCCATCACCTGAACGATATCCAGGAGATAGCTTGAATCGCAGTGCGCCGGTGCGAACGCTAATGAATTTCACTGTGTCGAGATCTTTCAAGCATTGCGGTCTTGTACCGTCAAGTGCCGCGATTCGATGGATGTCGTATGAGAAAATCCCTCTGTCAAGATACGGTGATACATTCCGCATCTGACATGACATTGGAAGTGCCGCAAGCTCTGCTCTCACTCGTTTCGAGCTAGATGATCTTCCATTTCTCGGATGTGCGCTGCCTGTACTAAACCATGCCCTGTCGTTTTCTATGTGAACACGTGGAAGTGTGGCGGAGACTGCGGGGTCTCCGATAAAGGCATCCCGAAACCTTTGGTACGTAGAAAGTAACTCAGTCGACCTGTTCTCAAACAGATTCAAAATGGTGGTAGTCGAAATGCAGTACACAACGAAGAAGCACGTGGTTGTGGCAACATCCGAAATCTTGCCACCACGCTCGAGAGAACCGAGACGAATGAGTAAATGATCCTCATCTAAAAATTGGGCTTTCAACATTACGAGAAGACTGTATTGCCCGACAACTCTATAGAACAAGCTCTGGTTCCCTTCGCTATGGTACCTCCGGTACACATAAACCAAGAGGCGTTGCATCAAACCAGTGTAAAACCCCGATTTCAGTTTACCGCTTCCTAGGCCAGTCTCCTTGGGTGGTGTTGCTCCTTCGCTGTGGGGGGCTGCCAGTCCAGCGGCGTTACCACCTGCAACACCTTCTCCAGGGTGCGAGGAAGGCAATTTTTTCGAACGCATGGAGGCGTCAGGAAGGCTTGAAAGGCGAGAATTCTGAATTTGTGACGAAGATCCCACCATGGAGCTGAACGAGCGCTTCCGTTCCTCCTCTCTCTGCTTTCGCTGGTATGAATTCTCAGCTTCTCGCGCACGCGCAATTTCCAGTTCATCGTCGGAGCGACACATGGCGCCGATCTGGCACTCATATACAAATCGGCCAAGGTTTTCCTGCACTTTGATGATGTGTAAGACTTGGTGGCGAATGGAGAGCACGCACAGAATGTCACCACGCATGTGCACGCCCGCATGGCCGTCAAGATCAACAAAGTCATTTTCAAGGGTAAAACGGTCCTCTACGACGCCCGATTCGACGTTGAGCAAATGGAGAGTAAAGCGCTCCAGCACGCGGGTAGACGCAACGGCGGGCGGAGGTTCACCGACGATGGGCAGCTGCAACGCAGGCATGTTGGGATCGTTATCCGTCTCTCTCGGTAAATAGCTCGCCAGGATGAGGTAGCGGGCCGTCGGGGTGGCGAGACAAAACTCAGGCGCGAGGGTCTCCGCGTTGAGCGCGACGGGCACCTCGTAGAGCTTTGTGAAAAACCTGGAAAAGGTGCACGAGTACCTCTCCGCGTCACTCTGGCGCGTGCGAGAGTTCCTATTCCTTGTCGGCCTCGGCTCTGGGCTGGCCGCGCCCGGGGCAATGCCGCCCACGAGCGGAACCGGCAGATCCGCCAAAATACTTGCCCGTTGCGAGCGGGGCATGCGGGTGTTGGCGTAGGGCGCCGATGGTGCGAACAGCGAAGTAAGGGGTGGCACGAGCGGGAGGCGGTTGTCCAAGGGGGGCGGTGTCGGAAACGCGTAGTCGAACTGGGACACGATGAAGGCACTGGCGGGGTGGTGCGGTATGAGCCAGGGGTCTGCCGTGGGCGGCGGGGGCTGTCGCGGGCGGACGGAGGGGCGGTCGAAGTCGAGGTCCGCGGCGGCGTCGCGCGGGCGGGGGCGGCGGCCGCCAGACTCCAGGCGGAACAGGACCAGGTCGCGGTGGCTGCGCGAGATGCCGACCAGGTAGCGGCCGCATGGGGTGAAGCGACGGAAGGAGACGGACGGGATTTTGGAGACGCTCGTGAAGGTCGAGGACGGCACCAGGCCGGAGTAGAGCGCAGACCGGAACTCCTCCGCGTGCGCGGCGCCGACGGAGCGGTTGTGCAGCGCGCGCAGGAGGCCCGGGCGCGACGGTCGCCGGCGGGCGCGCATGCTTCGGGGCAGGGTTAGTGGAAAGTAGACATGGTGGGAGGGGAGCGACGGGGGGAGGGGAGGGGATGGAGGGGAGGGGGTGGTTGCGGTTGGAGAGAGTAAGGGACAGGGGAGGCACGGGTCGGCCGTTTCAAGCGCAAAGGGTACGGTGCGACACGTGTTGGGGTGCATGGATCGTAAGGCAACAACGAACGGTGCAAGATGCAGGGCATGTCACTGCATGGGCAGCGATTCGTGGTGGGGATGCAGGGGGTGACTCAAATATGGCCCAGATTAATTCTTTCCGCGTTATCTCAAATCGATCCAAACTCGCAGATAAAATCTTTAAATCCACGCCCCCCTCTCTCTGTGCAACAAACGACCCGCCCAAGCTCCGCTCATGTCCAGGCTCCGCTCATGTCTCTCAAGTCGAGACTCTCACCTTACCGCTCTCCCTACTCCAAACCTAAAACCAACCATTTTCCGTGGCCATCGACTCAGTTATCATGTCATATGTTATATCCTGATCCCCAGTCCTCAAGAAATACTACGGTACGTCCGCGTGTTAGTGCTTTTCCGTCATACATCTCCACAGCAAGAGTGCTCTGCACTATCTGTACAGCATTGTACAGGCTGTGCACAGAAAAGACGTGTGCTGTACTGTACCTAAACCTTATTACACCATACTTTTCGCATTTCAAGGGCAAAATATGTATATACAGTATTATATATATATTGATTCAGTAAATATGTATTTGCTTCAGTACAGGTCTTCATCACCTTCTTAAATGCTCTTACTCTTATTTGCACGGCATCGTACGACCATGTTGTTTAGGAATATATTTTTCATTTTAGACACCAGTGCCCCTGTCGAAAAACAACCCTCTCCGTATATAATACCCTTACTTTTGCATTTCAAGTCCAAAAAGACACTTTCATACTGATACCTTCTGCCTCTCCGACACCGTAAACTGCTCTCAGTGCCAAGGTACAGGGCTACACTAGTCTTCGAGCAAAACAACGGGCTCGCGACCAGTTACCCTTCGAAGGGTAAATTACCTGACAGTCGTCATCCGGCCCCCAAAGACCCGATGAACGATGGGGGCCGGACGACAACGGTCCCAAAGACCCGATGAACGATGGGGGCCGGATGACGACGGTCAGGTAATTTACCCTTCGAAGGGTAACTGGTCGCGAGCCCGTTGTTTTGCTCGAAGACTACAGTAGTGTAGCCGACCCGGTTCATCAACGCCCCAGGTTTTCTCATTCACGACCGCACGCGCCGTACAACCGTTCACACATACTGTACACTGTATATGCAACAAGATCCGCAGATGGGTGTAAGTCGTTGCGCCCCGTTTCTCCCCATACAGGGGGGGTCGCGATATAGTGCCACCCTGCGTCAGTGGGCCGAAAACGGCACTATATCGAACCAGGCACTGTTAGATAATGAGATTTATGGCTTTTTTGCAGCCACTTCCTTGCATCACTGCTCAGAGAGATCGCTCGCAGGACGCCATCACTCATGCTTTGTATCTTCACTACGGACTCAAGTCTAATCAAGCATTTCTGTTATTAGTGGCTGCTGAGCCGTCGCATTGACTTCCTCCTTTCTCGCAGCTATAAATGGCAGCCTACACTTTTGCAGATGTCCAATTGCATCATCGGCCCTGCCTTTTTCCGCCATAGTCTCTATTCTAGTAAGCAACTGCATAATATCTTTCCGCGGCGGCAGCGGCTCTCGGGCAGTACACACGTCCATCCAACTGCCTCTCTGGAGACCCTTCATTTTTGGCTCAAAATGCGTGCCACCCGCAGAAGGGTAGCACTATATCGGAGCTGGCACTAACAAAGATGGCACTATATCGCGACCCCCCCCTGTACTTTTTATATCCTTCTTATCCAAAGTTCCCCTCGCGCATCGCACAGCTATGCAGCTTGCGTGCCCCCCTCAAGACCACTACTGTACCATTTTTCACGGTAAGGGTTTTCTCACTTCCACACGTCTTTCGAACCACTACAGCCACTACTGTACAGTAATCTAACGGTTCCGTATTCCCTTGCCTCAATCACGGTAAGAAGCTTGTTAGCCACACCTGCCAATCTCGAGCGGATAACTCTTGAATTGTTTTCGAAAAGAGTCCATTACTAAACCCAACGCTGACATTCTCGATCTCCGTCTATAAGCCAGATAGAGATTGCTCAGACTCTCAAAACATAACATCCACCAGTGTCAGGCGGGGCGATCTGATGAACGAGCTGGTTATTATGATTTATTTCTCCTTATTTTGGGCCAAATACATGTGCTTAGCGCATGCCGCTGGTGACCCCACACAATGGAGTCGGCCTCCCTCTGGATAGCTCAGAAGTAGGATCATTCCAATGTTCTGTACAGTACTTGTACTGCTGGCGTGTGGATTTTAAAGCATCCAAAAAATTTCGGAGAAACAAGCTTCGTCGTGCTTGTAGTGTGCAAACCACCAACCGTTTTTGTTGGCAGCGCGCACCGTACAAGCACACGTTTGTTGCATTTCTCTGCAATAGGTGGCGACACCTGACACTCCCCGATAAAGCTACGCTCGCGGAAACAGTCTCAATGCTGCCTCGCCGGTAAAATTTCTCCGCAGATCATCTGCGAATTTTGTCGACGCGGCACCTGGCGATATGGACAAGTGACGCGCCTCCTATCGCTTGCGCCTGGGAGGGACTAGCGGCACTGTTCATACAAGTGAAAAGGTGCGAAGGCAGGGCGGGTGGTACGAATTTGGTGTCTAACCCATACGCAGGCATTTATTTCTGTTCTCTCCAACACATGCATGCTGCTCAGCGTGTGTCCGACAGCGTGCCACCTGCAGAAGCAGCAAAGCAGCCCACTTTTCCACTTTAAAGCAGCCCATTTTTCCACTTTACTCGTACTGTACTCTATCGAACCGCGGAGCGGAAACTGCTACGTGTTGACAAAGTGGCTCTCGCGCTGTACGAACGGAGTTCCATTCCCAGAAACGCGACGCCTGTAGACTCTCAAACTGTATCGCAAGACACAGCCACCCGGTATCCATAGCCATCGCATATGTATACTGTACGTAGAAGGCTTGCGGATAACCTAGCGAAGTACACTAGTGCGCACCGGTGCAATGTGCAGAAAGGAAAGAGGTAGATGTAGGTGCAGACAGCAAAGCAAATGGCTGCAGATCTGTATTGAAGAAGACGGAGCGGCACTTGGAACTGGCCCATCGGAACTGAAGATCGGCGTGGAGGGGCCACCAGGGTCGAGGCTGTACTTGTACAACGGGCGGAGCTCGTGGATGGCAGGGGTGATGGGGCCGCGACATGACGTCTTTTGACAAGGAGTAAAAGGGGTGTGGCGGCTGCGTACAGTATTTTTAAATACATGTGGTTAGTGGCGTACGCTTAGTGCTTGTGGAGTAGTGTCTCCGATGGGATGCTGTGTTGGATTTTGACAGGTCCGCGACCTTTCGGTCACTGTAACGTCGCGGTGAGGGAAGCTGAAATAGGCATAAGGGCGCGTCACATGTGGACACGGCGCGACTTGATTTGCATCGAGCAGGGCACAAAAACCCGTTGGCCGTCACATACAGCAAATCAAATTGCGCCAGATTGGAGAATACGCCTTCCTCGACAAAGGAATGCGTCTAATCTCTCTGTAAGCCTTTCACATTTCAGCTTCACATCCTGAATTCACGTCGAATGCCTGCTTCAGCGGTCTCTTCCCGTTATTAGCACGTGCTCTCTTACAGTGTGCAGCACCTGTTGTCCGTGCCGCCCCTCTCTATCCGCTTCCCCTTTCCCCACGAGACAAGGGCCATGACTGACCCTGACACTGGCACAACGCAGGAAAAGCCACTCGCGTATTCTCTCCTCAAGCACACATTACATTGCCCCGCCCCAACCTCTCTCAGCGCCCACTCCCACCTCTTCCATCCCCACCCTCCTTCTCCACTACACGAGCCTCCCTCCACATCCCACTGCACACCTCCTTTTCCACCGCTGCATTGTCAGCCCAGCCCTCTCCAACCTCCCGCTGCCGCCCCCAGGCGCACCCCCTCCACCAGAACTGGTTAGGACCATTTATAGTTATGCATGTTCAAGGAAGAATGATAACTATTCAGAACAGGGAAGGAACATACAGGCAAATGTTCAACGCCTTCCAACTCAAACCATATTACCGAGATCACAGTCCGATTACTCACTATCAAACAAGAATATTCCGTTCTCCCCTTGCTCCAAAGACTCCCTTCTCTTCCTTTATCACTGAAGAAATCAAACCTAGTGACCCTAGAGCACGCCAGTT